CACCATCTCATGCCGCCTTTCCCTGCCACCAGATATTAGCTTTCAATGTGGATAGCCCAAAATTGAACCCCCCATTTTGTCTAGCATAACCAAAACCAGAAGTCTCTGTTGAGACTGTAGCTCTACTGGTTTATACTTAAAACGAAGGAAGAGAAAAGTAGCAGTTGGGACCTGAAACTTTAAAACAGCAATGAATAAAAAATGATCCTTGCCACTCATCATATAAAAATCGATGCACAGAATTATGTATCCTAGCATAGACCACCTGTGTGCCAAGTTATCTCGAAATCGGACCAAAACTGTAGGAGGAGTAGCATTTTGAAAGAATTTCACAGAAATTTCTATTCTTATTAACCATGGCAGCACCATTCATCGAAATCCCAAAATCACGCATAATATTGACGATCCAAAAATACATATTCTTACACCCTCTGAACTATTTGTAAACAAAAATGATCATATTTAAAATAAGATGTTGCATAAAGGTATTAGAAAACCTATCAAGCTATACTGCTTGAGGTGCTTAAGAAGTAATACAACCAATTGAGTCTTTAGCCATCAATGAATTTGAGGTTGGTATTCTTATTTATCTCTTGTTGTTATCAACGACCTAATTCTTGATATAATTGGCAATCTAGCATATACAGAACTTTGCAGTCTTGACATGCCTACCACCATCTTTTTCTTAACAAAGTCTCAAGTACCATCAAATGTACATTTAAAGCTTATACCTGACAGATATGTTCTTACCGTAGAATATGATAGATACTTTAATGAACAACTAGCCATAAGTTCTATTATCTATTTTTCAACAGGATGCCAAATCGGATGTGACCCACAAGACAATAAGACAAGCCTTGAACTGTATATTATTTAAACTGGAACAAGCTAAAAAATGTGATGACCCTGATTACTTCAGTACCAACCCATTCACTTGGCCTCTTAAAAAACAACCAATGATTCTTAAAGAAAGCACCACAACCTAATTCTGAATTCCATGCACTATCAGTAAATAAATGGAGTTGATCATCATCTACTAAGTCAATTTGTGGAAAGTAACAGCAGCCATTGAACAAATCTAAAAAAAAAACAAGCCATACTTTCAAGTCCTCCTTAACCACCACAGAAACCCTGATAAAGTGATGTTGTTTACAGACCCCTTGCATGATGTCATAAATTATGCCTTGTGAATGCTCGGCCCGACGGAGTGACACACAAACAAAAATTCAACAAACCTGCAAGAGCCTTAAATTCCTTTAGAGTAGCCTTCTTTCTTGACATAAAACTGTTGACCAAATCCTTTAAACTACTCTACTTATCAACTGGGATTGACATAAAACTGTTGACCAAATCCTTTAAACTATTCTACTTCTCAACTGGGATTCTTAACACCATTTCAACCGAATCTAACTCAAAACCCAAAAAGGTCAGGGGAGTGGAAGGCCACACTGTTTTATCATCAGCTATTGAGGGGACACCTAACTGCTCGCATAGCCCATCAAAGAATGACATGAGTTCATCACATGTATTCCTACCTGCCTTACCAGGAAACAAAAAATCATCTAAGTAATGCACAACAGATTTCTGACCAGACTGTTGCTTAAATTTCCATTCCTAATATAATAAAAATTCCTCAAAAAGACTACAAGAAACCACAAAAAATATTTATTTAAAACCTAAAAGCTCAAAGATCTGCCCGGTGAACAGGAAGCAACCTAAATGCAGACTTGAGGTCCATTTTACCCATCAAGGCCCCCTTACCCAACAAACTTAGTAACCTAACCACATCATCTAATGAGGAGTAATTGACTGAGGAGAAAGATGGATCAAAAAAGGAATTAACACTTGAGTTTTCCGGTTAAGATAAATGATGAATCAACTTAAATGATCCATCTTTTTTCAGTACTAAACCTACAGGTGAAATAAAGCCTAAGACTGGAAAAGGGTCTTGAATGGAATAGGCCAGTAACTCTTCCAGCATTAATTTTTAAAACTTTTTTCAGAATTATCTCTGGCTGAGTTTAAATTAAAATAATTAGTAGCTACCCTTTGGACCATTGTAATTTAGAAACCTTCATAAAACCCCTTTGGCAAAATTTCTGAACTTTTCCTATTATAATCAGAGTTTTGCAAATAAGTGCAAGAACTTCTACTTTAACTGGGGAATAACCTAGGTCCTGCAGATTGTGGTGCACTGGGGAATCATGCTCAAGGCTGGGGTGGTCTTGATGAAGGTCCCTGGTTCCTGTATTATAATGGGTATCTTTGACCTGAAAAATCTCTAGAAGCATATTGATATTTAGCAGACGGGCCTTTTTACATGGATGAGGCCCGCTACAGTTCAAACATTTATGTAATTAATGGCACTGCTGTTTTACACAAACCCGATAATTGTTATAGTCATAGCATTTAACCCCCCCCCCCCCGGGAGGTTTTTGCACCGAACCAATAAACGATGGTACCATGTACAGTAGCTAAAGCTCCTGATCAACTATTCTTCATGAAACACTTGAATTTCTTGCAATTCTCATTAGAAATTGTTCATTTTAAAACTTCCACCTTATATCTGACAGCCTACCTGCTAGCCCCTAGACAAACAGTGTGGATTCATTTTAACAAGCCAAAAAAGAAATTCTGTAGGGTGTACTGTGGCATATACAGAAGAGAAAATTTGTAATTTTAACTGTAACCCATTTCGGTTCAATTACTACTTGACCATTAGAGACTGTTAGTGTTTGCTTATCAATTGTCGGGACCGGATTGGATAGAAGCTGTCCTAAATCAATGTATTCGCCCTTAACATTTTTTGATTTATTCTGTAGCATTTTCCCCCAAACTACCGCATATACCATCAATCTCATTACCTGTTGTATTAACATGATTGGCAGTCCCTACATTGACATCAGATTCATTGCTGAAACTAGTGGAAAAAGTAACCACACTTGTAGTAACCATGGTAACAATAATGTCTGTACAGGGTATGTTTTCCTCTTACGAAACTTCTGTAGATTCGACTGATCCCACTTTTTGGTTTAGGCCCACTCGTAGGTGCTGATTTTCGCTTCGCCGGCTTGGCAGCGGGTTTAACTCTAGGCATTTTCTGAAACTACCGACTTTGGAATAAGAAATACAATATAGAAATAGGCCTAATAATAAAGTTATTATTATTGTTATTATTTTTAATATTGACTTGGCGTTACGGCTTAGACAATTTTTGTTAATAAAATCATCATTATTATATTTTGCTCAAATATTCACTAAGCGTTACGACTTTTCTGTTTTATATTACGCATGTGGTTTTTCAAAATCGAAAAACATCCGAAAAGTCATGTACATAATGATGCAAATACACACGAAAATAAAAATTGCTAGAAACATTCTCCTTAAATTTCATGCATAACATGAATTTTTTAACACAATATAAAATAAATAAACAAATTTTTATCTTGAGATGCAGGATATGTCTGCTCCCCTTCATTCTCTAACGAAAAAGGAAGTCCTAAGGATTCGACTAAAATACCAAAAGTTGAAAGAACGGGGGAATACTAATGACCCGATAACCCCGAATATGGGCCTCTCTAATAACGCGATTTAATTTTCAGCAATTAAATCGAATTATGGCAGAAATATTCAATTATGACTCGCTTATACTGTACTCTCTAGCTGATAGGAATAATTTATATTTCACGTGAAATGGACGCCATACATTTTTCAGTAAAAACACATAACACGGCGTTAGTCGTTTACTTTCTTTAAAGTTTCACATTTTGTGAATAGTGCACAAATTATAAAATTAAGTATATGGAATACTTCAATGGGAAATAAAGACAAACGAATTGTAGTTATTTGTTTTTAAAAATTATGCTGAAAAATAATAACGCCATTGTGTCCTCTTTGTTACCCCAGCAGTATTTGTCGTTTGATTGTAAACTTCTTTGACAACGGAATGAATTAGGTTAAATAAAAATAAATCCACAAGATACTGATGTACATGTACAAGTAACAGTAACTGGCATAATGCGCCATTGCTTTATTCTTTAGTTTTTATAGAATACCCGATTTCGCGGATTCAACGATACCCTAATATCGGGTATTATACACGATTTCACGGTTAATACCTGATTTCGAGTATTCTCTCCGACCTGTTAAACGATGAATTTATGGTCGGTTAAAGAACCATTTTTAAACAGTTATAAAACGCCTTGCTAAGTAGTGTTTTAAAAGAGAAAATATCTACGATATTCTAAATGTTGTTATATTTTACGTGCAATAACGTCTGGAAACCATTTTCCCAACATTTAATAAGGTTAACTATATCCACTGTATTCCTGTGTTGTTCTTAACATTTTTGAGATTTGATTAAGCATCAAAAATGTTAATGGTATTGTATCATTTTTTTTAAATAGACAAATTTAAGAATGTCAGTTTTTTTTTACATTGTTTACGAACATGTCATGTCATGACAAAAAATATAAGATATGAATTCTCTTTTGTTTCAAATATTGTCTTCCGTTTTTGTTAAATAGTTAAAATATATGCACTGGATTAATCAAAAATAATTTTTGACAATATATATTTTATTTAGCTTTGTGTTTGACAAAATTATGAAAAGAAAGATTGAATAATTGAATAAAAACAAACCAAAACTTACACATAAAAATACTATGAATAATTCTATAAATGTTAAAAAAGCATTTAAGTTTTTATCTAGCTCTGTTCTAATCTCACATTTTAATGCCTAGTACAAAGAAACTAAAAAGAAACTCCTGAAGAAAAGCAGTGAATTCTTTGTCCTAATGATACAAATACGTCTAACCTATAATATTTCATTATTCCATTTTATTTTATACAAAAAACAATTTCTTTCATAAATAGATGACTACAGATAAAGCTGTCATTTTTTTGCATTATTTCCTTGTTAATTAATTAATTGTGTTTTATCAAGCAATGTAATAAACCACAGTCCCCGCCTCACATTGTTAGTAAAGGTATATAATACGTTTGAAGAGCGGAATCTTTACATCAAACATTCAAGCAGCAGATCCTGAGGCCCCACAAACCAGGGTAAGAGATTATTAGTTATCTTTGAAATTATCGTGATTTTAATGTTGCAAGATATACAGGTTGTTTTCAAGATATTTTTCACGTATTTTATGGAGAAAAAAAACTTTTAACAAACAAATGAATTTCTTATAACTTATTTCATCTCAAAAATCATTAAATAAAATCTTCATAAATTACTAAATTAAAAATGTTTTTTTAACAGAAAATGATGAGAATAATCTCCCTCGCCTGCATCGTTGCCTGCGTTTTTGCGGATTCTTACCCAAAGGCTGGGGGTTACTATCCCAAGAGCTATGGATATGACTTTGGATACGGGGATTACTATCCCAAGAGTTACGGAATTGGTCCATATGGTAACTTTGGAGGTGTAAATAGTGGTCTGGTTGGATTCGGGGGCATCAACAGTGGACTCGGTGGCGTTGGAGGATACTATCCCGGTTTGGTCGGTATTGGAGGCGGATCTGCTGCCGCTAGCTCAGCTGCCGCTGGAGGTGCTGCTGCTGCCGCCGCTGCTTCTGCTGCTGCACAAAATGCTGCTGCTGCCGCTTCTGCCGTCGCTGCAGGAAACGGTGCTGCTGCCTCTGCTGCTGCCACTGCTGGTGGACTGAATGTTGCTCCATACTACACCTATCCTGGATATTATTATCAGGGACAACAGTTCTACAACTTCCCCGGTTACTACCTGAATCAATTTCCAGGAAACTACTACCAGTTCCCCCTATACAACACCTTCAATCCTTATCTTGGTATTGGAGGAGGATCTGCCGCTGCTTCTGCTGCCGCCGCTGGTCAGGGTGCCGCCGCCGCCGCCTCCTCTGCTGCCGCCAGTCAGGGATTCAATGGATTCAATAATGGCGTCATTCTTGGAGGAAGAAGACCAAGAAAGGTTAGACTGAGATCTGATTTAAAAAATATATAACTCTTTTAAAAATACACATTCAATTTTATCTGTATTTTTTAAATAGACCTGAATTTCATTCTTAAAACTCTATAATAACTTTTTTATTTTTATTTGTTTTCAGGTTTACTGAGAAGAACGTTGTGTTCTTTGACGGCTGTGATGGTGTTACTTTTTATGATTAATAAATATTGAGTCCTTTATGTACGTGTTGACTTTTCGTATCTGGTATAACGTTTACCGAAACATACTACGAAAAAATCTATGAATCTTTAATTTGTAAAGTGTCTTTGTCCATTTTACCTTAATACATTCTTAGTTTACCAACAATGATAAATTAAAATCCAGCCTTTTTGATCACATAGACAGCTGCTTTTTAAATAAAAATGGAATTTGTAAATCTATATATTTTGTCATTAATCAAAATTATTTAATTATTTTGTCAAAAATATTGTTCACACAGGCACTCTGAAGCTGATATTAAAAAGATGTTTGAGTTTCTAATTGATAATATCTGTGTGGTTTTTGTTAACGAGGTCTTAAAACAATCTATTGGAATTTCCATGGGTATAAATTGTGCACCGATAATTTTGTATTCATATGAGCAAAATTTTCAATGTGAAAAGAAGGAAGCACTTGCTTTGGCCTTCAACTCGACATTTAGAAACATTTCCGACGCATTGTCAATCAAGAATGGTTATTTCCATTCTTATGTCGATACGATATATCTTAGTGAGCTTGAAATATAATATATCAAAGAGTCTGACACATTTTTTCATATTCAGAAATTCTTCATGAAAAAAAACGTCAATAGTTATCTAACTACCACGTTTTATGATCAACGTGATGACTTGAACTTTTCAATCGTCAACTTCCCTTACTTATGCATCAATAAACATTCATCACTTGCATACTGGGTTTATATATCTCAGTTGATTCGATACGCAAGAAAACTCTTTACGTTTGAATGATTTCTAAACCGTTTAAGAAACGTTTGACGGTAAAAAAGCTTAGTACTCAAACGTAACCCTATATTTTGAAAAATGAGTGAAAACGACAGCGTGTACGAATGTCTTAACAATTATTTTAAAATATCAGTAATTGTAGTTATCCACGTTTGTTTGATATTCATACAGATAATGGAACTTGAATCTACTGCTTAAAACCCTCAATACAAAATTTTCCATATGATGTACTTAATAAAAACAGCTGTCTGAAAAGAGCAAAGAATTGCAAGAGCACAAAGACATATTTATATGCAATTTTCTTAAATATTAGTGGTATTTTTGTTCAAATTCGTATTCGGGTAGACAGTTTAATTTCTGGAGGAGTCTAGAAAGCAAACTTTTTGCAAAAAAATCGAAAGGTTTATTAGTGGAAGGACCCAGAATAAGGAATGCACTTCATTAAATTTCTTCATGATAGCGTCCAAACCCGCACGCCCTGAAGAGTAAAGGGGTTTTCGGGATAAACAGAAAGTTAATGTTTTTTCACAGTAACAACATTCACCAGATCTTTGGCCTTTCGACTTGTTTCTATTTCCAAACTTGAAAAAAAACACCCTTCAAAAGGAAGAAACAAGTCTAGGAAATCACTGGATCTGCCATTTTCCAGTATACTAGGGGTCATACCCAAAAATGAGTTCTAAAAACAATCAGAAATTGGATAAAAAATGTTACGGACATGTGTTTGAATTAAAAGAGATTTATAAGATAAATCATGAAGACTAAATCATTGAAAAGCGTCTTTTGCTTCTATCCGAGCACCGAGGACATTATTTATTGAACAGCCCTCGTACTCATGTTTGTTTCGAATTATCACAAGAGTTTTATTGTGTTAGGCAGTCTTGTAGAAAGGGTAGAGTAATCCCATATACATGTACCTGTTATCGATTTAATGTCGGACTGTATCAATTACCGATATTATAGTCATTTTCTGATATTATTGAGAAAAACTGAAGTTTATCAATTATCAATCATCACCTGGCCTATCCCCTGTCATCGTTTTATTGCTGATCACTTTAAATATCATCACTCTTTAATTTATGCACATATTTGAACAATCACAAAAATAACAAGTTTTACTGCTGATTAATTAGTGTTAAAGTCATAATCACATACATGCAATTAAAAACTTATGTTACTACTCCAGCAATTGCTGTGTCAGATAAGTATTAAGCATATGAACAGCAAAAGTCTGGAGGAAGCAAATTGAACAACTTGATAAATGACATGAAATTTTAATTAAAGCAGTTTAACTTATATTTTTTTAAGTTCTTCCTTAACAAAGATGGGTTTATTTTTGTTTGCTTTTGGTTAGAAAAACGAATTATTATTTTTAAAGAATTCAATACAGTGTGAATTTACTGCGACTTTTCTATGTTAGGAATAAAATAAGAAGCATCTTCTATTTAAGTATCTTCTATTTAAGTAGGTCGCCCGCGTGGCGCAGTGGTTAGAGCGTCTGCTCTAGAGTGGCGGAGTAAGGAGTCAATTCTTACGTCGCGGTTTCGAATTCCACTGTGGGACGTGGATACCGGTCCTTCGGATGAGACCGTATAAACCGAGGTCCCGTGTCGCAGTAGGTGTTGGCACGAAAAAGATCCCTCCCTGCTCAAAGGCCCCGAGGACAAAATTTGCAGCTCTTCATCAGCAAGTGGTGGCGTCTCCATATGAGTGAAAAATTCTCGAGAGGGACGTTAAGCAATATACAATCAATCAATCTATTTAAGTAATACTAAACATGTGATATGCATATGGTAGAAAAACCACGTTATTCGAAAACAATGATGGAATCGAAGAAATCATTAAGATTTGTTGTAGAAAGTTCAAAGTAAACATGGTACTCATACATAAATGAAATTACGTTTTAAAAAATATCGTTTCATTTATAAGCCTCGTAAAGTCACAATACCATCAGAAAACATTGTCATCTTTACACTGTCAATATACGAGGGTTGTCCGGTAAAATCGTGGACAAATTTTCTAGTGTGAAAAATAATCATCACTACGTTCTGAAATGTTCACTATTCTTCAGTACATATTTTATGAATAAACATAGCAGATTTCAGATAGATATATGCATAAATAAACAAATAATGAGATTTTATCTTATGTATTGTATCGCCTTACAGCGCACAAATGTTAACGTCAAAGTGTCTAAAACAGCGTCACTTTTAACCTTTGCTAAAATAAAGTTAGATGAGTCCCTCCATAATTTAGGAATTTATTGATGCACGTACTCGGGTCTCCATAAACAGTTGAGGAATCAATCTGGCACACACATTGGATTTTCTGAAGATTTATTAGTAAGTTTCGGACTAAATTCTAACGATCCTTCCACTAAATAGACAATCTTTCATCGACGGTCTTCAATGGCAGGGTCTTTTGCTACTACAAAAGCAGTTAGTCCGTATGTTTTGTACTACCTAGGGAATCGATCAAAAAAGACTTCTCTAAGAAAACTCCCATTTCATTTGTATACTAAAGATCTGTTACCATGTTTTGATTTTTTTCTTCTATATTCATTTAAAATCTCTTAAGGTGACATTACAACATCTAAATAAAACTGAACTGCTCTCCGGTGCGCCGTAACGTCATCAAACGTCGCCATTTTTCATGGGTTGTGTTTATAAATTTCGCATGCTCGGAAAATTTTAAAAAGACGACAAAATAGATTATGGAATCGAATTAGCATAATTTGTACCCTAGTCTTATCTATTTAATTTTTTTATTTTGAATTAATTCTTGTGTATTCTCTAATAAAATCGTGGTTTTTGACCATGCGCCGTAGGACCGTACCCTGTGCACATTCAAGCTTAATAAAATCTATTTTTGTCTATATTTTATCAAAAAAATTATGATGCACTAAAGTATGATAGATAAACACTTATTGAAAATTTTAGCTTAGTGCGCCTATTATTTTTTGAGAAAAACGCTTTGTCCACGATTTTACCGGACAACCCTCGTATTTAGCCTATTTTCATTCAATGCTTAAAATAGGTCCCACTGTTTTTTAGCTTTGCCTGAGCAACAAAAATGTTTCAAATATAAATACACATAAGAATGCCAATGAGTTGTATACAAACATGTCATAAGAAATCAAAAATTTTAATTTAAAATTTGATTGAAAGAGTGTTTTTTTTATTTTATCAGGAAGTAACATTTGATTATGATTTTTGTTTGTTTTAATAATTGTCAAAGCATGAGCAATAAAGTGCATGACGCTTAAAATATGAATTCTATTCTTTTTTTATGGCAGTTAAAGGAAAACCTGTCCTTTAAATCATTTGGAAATTTTTGTATTCAGCGTGTTTGTAACGGAGTTGTAAAACTTCGTCTAAATCATATTTCTATTTTTTTTTAAATTAAGAACTGAAAATACTCACTAACAAATGAAGGATATGGAGAAAACGAACAGTACTCAATATCAAAGTCCACAAAACAATAAAAAATAGGATCAGAGCAAACACGGACCTCCGAAACATCAGAGTTGGGATCAGGTGCCATGGAGAAGGGAACATCCCCTGCTGACCGTTCACACCCACCGTGTGCTCTTTGTCATGATCGGGAAATAACGGGGGAAAACGTCGTCAATTCAGTGTATGAATATTGGACTAACAATTAGTATGAAATACGTCAGTCAGCATTTGACTCAATGATAAATTGTATTTACTGACAAGATCATTGTATCGACCAAAGAACTTACGGAATGATGACTTTAACCGAGACAGATGATATTTTTGTTTCATCAACTTGTTTGTCAATAATTTACATCGTTTCAGAAATTGTTCATACGTAGAGCATGTTCTTGCGTATCAAATCAACTGAGGTATATAAACTGCATATGCAGGTGATGAAGGCATATTGATCCATAAGTAAGGGAAGTTGACGATAGAAAAGTTAAAGGCATCACGTTTTTCATAGAGCTTGGTTGTTAGATTACCACTAACGTCTTTTTCAAATAAAATATCCAAGCATGAAACAGATGTGTCAGACTCTGTGGAATCTTTTATATCAAACTCTCCATGATATATCGACATACGAATTGAAATTTCTCTTGTTAATTAACAATACGTCGTCGATAGATCTAAATGTAGAGTTGAAGGCCACAGAAAGTGTTTCCTTTTTTTTCATTCATAAGATTTTGCACAAATTCTGCTTCATATGAATACAAAAATAGGTCTGCTAATAAAGGAACGCAG